TCGGGACGTGCCATTCCTGGCACATACGGGGTGTTGTGAGCACCATGTAGCCTCTGATGGGGAGAAGGGGCTCTCAGAGACTCAAGGAAATCTGTTAGGCCAGCTACCTCAGTGGGAACGGTTTAGTCCAATCTAGCTTGTTAAAAGGAGAACGGTGACTTTTTCTTTTTTCATCTCGCGTAATTAGACCACATACGTTGACCACTCGTCATGGTGTGCACATTTCCAGCTGGACTTTGGGGAACAGCACCGAGGATAAGCCTGAAGCTTAGTTTGCTAGGTCTCAGAGGCTGCAAGGAAAGAACAGTTGCCCTCCCAGAATTTACCTCTTGGAATAATGGGGCGAATCTCCTTTTCACACCTCCTTTTTATAAAATCATAAGCTTGGAATGTTAAGGTGGCCTTTTGCCAAAAGACTGGCATCAAATATTTATACAGTACTGGGGCAAATAGCTCTCTGTGCACAGTAGGGAAGCATCTTTACTGTAATAAAAAATGCAGTGATAATGGAGTGTTTTCCATAGATGTAGGGTGATTTAACCTTTTACATTGGGAGCCTTCACTGTAAGAAAGACCTATTTATACCCAGCTCGGCGCGCATCACAGCAAGGCTGAGCCAGGAAGGTAATGAGAAGACGCGGAGTGGACGAGGCCGTCAAAACAAGGGGTTCTTTAAAAGCCCAGCTGTCTGCTCTCCGTGGTTCATTGGCTTTTTTGCTGTTACAGATGATCAAATTTTGACAGCCATTCCGAACTTGCTTTGTAGTTAAGTAGGTGAATCAGCACTCCGGATTCAGAATAGCAGAGCAGTGGGCTGAGGGGCTAGAAGGCAGACAGTGCCTGAGGCAGCTGGTAAATAAGGACCTGGTTTATTCCTATTTCACACTCCAAGTCTGGCCATACATCTCCCCACTGACCACACAGCCCTCCTCCCAGGCCTGTGACCAGGGAGGAAGCAGAGAAAGCCAGGCAGTGGCTGGGATGGTCTGGATGGACTATGGTGTCTCATTCCCTCTTCTGGACCTCAGCTCCACTGCACGGTACTGTCGGCAGGCTAAATACCATCGTAATATTTATGCTAAATTGGGTACTCTATTACTTAAAGCAATGATAGGCACAATTTAAGGTCTTGGAGATTTTCCATTGAGATTTGTACGTAAAGACTTTGGAGATTGGAGATAACATATTTTGGTAGGAGTCTTGTGGGGATTTGTGCTGTATTGGTCTAATCCTGAGGGAATCATTGAATGTATTCTGGTCTCAAGCATCCCCAGGTCAGGACTTGGGAAAGCTTTACTCAAAGTGGTTCTATAGGGTATTCCTACTGTGGCAGGAGCTCCAGCTGGATCTTTGTTCTTCAGAACTTTAAAAGTGAGCTTTACTATGGTTCATCTTGTCCTGAGGCCCCAAATACGTACAATGTGGTTTAAAGAGAAGCCCTGTTCTTCGCTGGTTATCTCTCTAAAACGTTTCTTAGGAGGGCAGCGAACAAACACTTGGGGAAAACTTTTTAGCAGAGCAGATAAGAGAGGCAACCTTAGTACTTTTGCTAAGGCTGTTTGATAACACACTCTCAGTTTAGGAAACAAATAAGAAACTGGAGCATGGTGGTGATGAACTTAGATTGATCTCACTTAAAATGGAGTATTATCTCGTCATATTGGACAAGGCTGCTGTGCTCCAGGAATTAGTCTCACGGCTGTGAGTCGTTGAGCTGGTCACGGCTCTCTATCATTCTGGAATAATCAAGAATATCCCCAAGCCAACCAAAGTACACCAGTCTCATATTTCTTAGGTTTAGGTTGGGCGTTGTATTAGTCAGCTATTGCCACAGTACTGCTGTGTAACAAGCCACCCCAGAGTCATTGGCTAAAAACAGTACTATTCTCACACATTGGTGGGTTGGCTGGAGCAACTCCATGAGGCAGTTCTGCTGATCTCAGCTGGGCTCACTCTCAGGTGTGTGGGTCAGCTGATCTAAGCTGAGCTGCTCTTGGGCAGCTGGGGCATGTCCTCTCAAAGTGGTGGCAGAGATAGAAGAGGTTAAGTTTAACCACAAGGGCTTGCCAAGCCCTTGTTGCATCATACCTGCTAATATCCCATTGGCCAAACAAGTCACATGGATAAGCGCCTAGTTGGCTGGTCGTCCCACGCATCATCTTAGTCTTGACTTTCTTCTCTCCTGATTCCACTGCTCTTGTGGTCCTTGGCTACCCCTCATTCACTGTGCATCCCTACTCCAGCTGTATCCTCTACCTAACTCTCAAACCCTGAAGATCCAAAAACCTTCCTTGCATGGTTAAGTACATATCTCTACTCAAAATGAGGAGACCCGTTTTGAAAAATACCCAACCACTGCCTCCACCTGCACTCTCTCCCCTTAGCCCACTTGATATTTTTATAGCATTTATCACCTCTAACATTATGTCACTGTCTCCCTCCCCACACTGCAAGGTAAGCTCCATGGGGCAGAGACTTCATATGTCTTGCTGCCTGAAAGATCTCCGATGACCACAGGAGTACCTGGCACAAAATAGATGCTAGGTAGGCATTGGAATGAATGAGTGAGCAGCTAGAAGTGTTTTCAGTATAAGCTTAAATGCTTCCAGGAACACAGTACTCACTCTTCTGAGGTTGTACCTTCCATTTTTTAGACTACTCTAAGGAAGGTACTTTCTGTTTATATTGTACTCACATTTTCTCCCCATAGTTCCTAAAACTTTTTGATTCTAGCTCTGCCTTCAAGAGCCATGTAGAGGAGAGAAAAAGAAAATTCATTTTCATCTGTGTTGTCTGTTTGTATGATGCTTGTGTTAACTCTTGCATTAATCTTGTAGAAAAGGATAAGAAGAAATTCAAATTATACCTAATCCCACCAATCATAAGTGCTGCTAGATTTTATGTATTTCCTTAAAGTTTGTCTAACCCTTCTTAACATAAAAAAAATTCACATACAGCTCATACCGCAGGCTTGTATCCTGTTTTTTTTTTCTTTATAACATTGTCTCTAAGGAATGTTTCTGAATCATTACATTCCCATGATTTTTTTGTAGCCACATAGTATTTAATTATATGGAAGTCTCCTAACTTATTCGACTACTTTTCTATGGTTGAATATTTGAATTGTTGAGCATTTAGATTGTTTATGTTTTTAAGGAATTTATAAGTCATGCTGGTAGATAAATATTTGATGGCTTTAGTGGTTATTTCCTTAGAATAGGCTGAACGAGGTAGAATTTCTGGGTCAAAGAAGATGGACTTTTTTGTTTCAGGCTCTTTAGACCTTGTGAAATTGCTCTCCTAAAAGATTGTACAGTTAAAATTCCCTTAACCACCATAAGGTTTTTATACATGTATAAAAAATGTTAAGCTTAGCCATTTATTTATTTATTTTTGTTGTTGCAAACAATTTTCTCATTTAATGGCCTTTCAATTGTCTTTATGAGGTCTAGTGGAAGACAGAAGCTAAATATTTGTTAAGTGTTTACATCTGTCCGTCTTTTTCTTTGTGGCTTCTGGGAAATGCTGACAGTTCCTGAACTCCAATGTAATACAAAGGACTTTCTGAATTTATCTCCCTTTCTGTTAAAAAAAAAAAATCATATTATTATGTGAATTATCCTTCTAAAATAAAGATAGTATATCACTAAAGATACTTTTAATGTGAATTGCCATAACAAAATACCACAGGCTGGATAGCTTAAATAATAGACATTTATTTTCTCAGAGTTGAGGAGGCTAGATGTCGTCCATGGTTAAGGGGCTGGCAAATTCAGTTTCTGCTTGAGGCCTCTTTTCCTAACCTGCAGACAGCCACCTTCTCTCTTCATCTGGCATTGCCTCTGTGCAGGGAGAGGGGAGGGGGGTCCCTCTGGTGTTTTCCTGGTAAGGACATCAGTCTTACCAGATTAGGACCCACCCTTATGACCTCATTTAACCTTAGTTAATTCCCTAAAGGCCCTACCTCCAAATACTGTCACTTTGGAAGTTAATGCTTCATGTATGAATTGGATGAGGGGAGGACACAATTCAGTACCTAATGGTGTGATTGATTTGTAGATTAGAATCTAGGGACCAGGAGTGATTCTGTGTACACGTTCCCATGTCACAGATGAGAGACCAAGTCCCTGAAAGGGGTCACGTCACTTTTCATGATAGAGCACGGATCCAAACCACCTGCTTCTCTGTCTAGTCCTCTTTCCCACAATCTCTTATCTAAATGAATTTAGGGCATTTAAAAGCCATATTAAAAAAAGGAGGAGCAGCAGAAAACACCTCCTTAATGTCTTCTGCTGTGGCGGGGACTCTGTTGTAATTTTCTTTATACTCTCACTGCCTAAGACAATGAATCCTTCTTGAATCCTGTTATATGTTTAACGTACATTTATTGAATCATATAGAACTCAGAACCTGGCACACTGACCAGAGCAATGCCCAAGGAAACATTTTCAGTGGTAAATCATTTGGGAAAATTCCCCTTTCCCTCAAATTCTGCCTCTTGACAAGAGCTAAAGCGTCGTCTGTACAGCTGTCCACATCATGAGAACTTCCAGGAATCAGCGCATCTAGAGTGCATCCGACAAACTCAGATCTGCTGTGTTATATCTAGCCCCCCTTTAAAAAAACCTTCCACCTAAATATAGTTTTCTTCTAAAAACTGTCTCTAAATGACTGTGTTTTACCCTGAATAAGTTCTCCCCAGTGCATCCTGACGTTGGAACGTGAAAAAGAAGGTAAACGCGTGAAATCAAATGGTGATTGCTAACAATGAAATTTGGGCTCATAAAATCAAGGATATTATTCAGAACTGCGAGGTAAATTAGTCTCATTCATTCTGATGGGGCTAGACTCTATGGCTGTGTGTGCCTTCTTTAATTAACATGCTGAAAAGATGTTCTGATTGGGATTATTAATGAATGCAGTGAAAATTTTTGCTGCTTGTAAGGCTTCTGCCACAGACGGTTTACAGAACTCCCCCCGCCTCTTTTCTTTTTCCACAGATTCCTTACACAGCCTGACAGATGGAGTATTCATCTTTGAAGCTGTTTCCACAGAAGATAGCAAAACCATGCAGGGCTATGATGCTATTGTTGTCGAACAATGGACAGTCCTGGAAGTAAGTGTGAGATTGGCAGTGGTGCTTCCTTTGTTTGGACAGTGATTGTTTCATCCGCTTGCTGGGTCTGACCGCGTCTGCTGTGGCTTTCCTCTGAAAGGCAGTTTGACCTGGGTAGACCTACAAGGCCCCTTTCAAATGCTTCTGTGCCCTCCAGTTGGGGCATGGGCCCCACTTGCCCTTTCTGTAGGAAAAATAGTGTGCGTGCTGGACCATTGGGTGGAAAGAGGTTCTTCTTTCATTCACTTGCATATCACTGGAAACTCCAAGTGACATACGTGAGGCCAACATACAGTCTGTGTCCACTGGAATGAGAGCAACATGATTGTTGGCGTTAGACCTTATGCCTCCCTCTGCCAAGTATCCTTGGAAGAAATTGGTGCATACGCACTCAATCTTTGACAAAAAGCCCATGAGGCAAGTACATGACTGCCCCTATTTCACAGACGAGGGAACTAAGGTTAGGTCCCTGGCCCAAGGTTACACAACAGTAAATGCTGAAGGATGTCCTTGAGAGATGTTGACCCTTGAAGCCACCAAACTGCTGTGAGCAGAGTAATTCCTTCAGCCATGTCCGAAGACCTGATTTCTTTCTGAGATTCGCCGGTGTGTACTTTGAGGGCGCTGTAGAAGGGTGGGCTTCTCAGACTCATCTCTTGTCCATCCAACATCTTGGGTGTAAACGGGCAAGCTGTTTAAACATGCGGGACTGATTTCTGAAAGGATTTCTTGAGGAGGCCCTGGAAAAACACAGGGTTAGCATCGCTCGGAGGGGCCTTGCCAAACCAGGCTCTCTGTGCCAGAGTAAGACAGGTGTGGGTTCAGCTCTTTGTGAGGGGTATGGGGTGCCGGGACCCACCAGACAGTGGGTGCTTGCCACGTCTTTGTGCCCTCTGGCTGTGCCCTCTGCAGCCTGATGGCAGGCGACGCCCTCACCAAGTTGCTGGAGGGCGGTGGGCACCCCAGCGGTCTGTCCCCTGTCCTCTATGCCGGCAGCAGTTCTGAGCGGGCATGCCTGCATCTGGGCAGTGATGTGCAGTAACTGCTTGCCAGGAAGGGGACAGAGTATAATGGAAAACTGTACTAATCAATCAGAAATTGGAATTCCAAAAACACAGCATCCAGGGCCCAGTTAGATGAGGGGCCAGGAGCCCTAAAGGAAAGTACGGAATCGGGTCATGACCTGGTTTGCCATCAGGCTCTGCCAGCTCCCCCTGCCTGACCTTGGTCTCATGTCCCCCCCCCACACACACACACACACACCCCGCCTTGGGTCCCTAAACATCCTGAATTTAAGATGGGGCCATGCTGTTCATCCAGCCCACCTCATGTGGTCAGATGAAAGATGAAATAACAAGGGTGCCAATTGAGGATCTTAAGGACCCTATTAAAACAGCCCACAGGCTTTAACACTCAGTAACTCTGTTTGCTCTGTCACACTTAGCCTTCATAGCAAGCCACATGTGGCTGCACCAAAAACAAGTGCATTTGTGGAAGTGATTGACGGGTCACGGGATGTGTGCAACATCTCTTGCCATCAGCACATTAAAATGGCTGTTAAGGGAGGGCACCGTGGTTTCCTCAAGAAAGGTGGTTTGATGGCTTTGATCCAAAGTCTCAAAGTGTGGTCCTAGGACCAGCAGCATTGGCGTCACCTGGGAAGGTGCTATAAATGCAGATTGTTGGACCCCACCCCGGATGGACTGAATTAGAAACTCTGGGGATGGGCCTCAGCAATCCTTTTTCACAAGGGAGATCCTGATTCACGGTTTCAAGAGCCAGTGTCTAAAAGAACAGGATAGATGCCACTGTCACCAGATGTCTGTGGTTGTGTGTTAGTTGATGAAAGTTGTGATAGGAAAAGTACCCCAGTGGCTTGTCTTTCTTCAGCCTTTGAAATTAACTGTGACCTTGATGGGTAACTGGAGTGAATGCATCCTATCTAAAATGTTTGTGGGAGGAAGTTAAGGTTACAAACTAAAATAAGGACACGATTGTCTTTTTAATTAGAAGAGGTCAATTTTATGGGTTAAGAGGCTAGATCAGGAAAGATGAACATTTATTCAGAAAGCTTTCCTGGCTGTGCAGATTGGTTTCCGTTAGGTTGATTTGTTAATTTTATTTCTTTCTCAGATGTTTGAACTTTTTTCTCTCGACCTCCTATTTTTGTGCATTAATCTATTTGGTGTTATTAGTGTTGGGTCATGTCGTCATTGTCCCTCGTCCCCTTCTCTCCCTCACGGACACACACACGTGCACACGCGCACGCACACACACACGCACACACACACACTTCAGGAATGCTGTGGCTTTTCTCCAGAGATCCTGGGAAATGGCATAGGGTTTTAAGACCCACAGTGGGCCCAGTGGTGTGCACCAGCTTGCGAAGCCGGTTCTGTGCCTCTCTTTCCAACTCTGTATTCAGTGACGGATTCAGTCATTAGTAGCTTGAAATTGTGTTTGTGGAAGTACCGCACCATGAAAACTGGCAAAGCCTAGAAATTAGGATTCCACCCTCCCACCCCCACCGCGGCTCAGAGAGCCAGTTGTAAGCATTTACCAGCACATCACTAGATAGGCCTTTATTCCATCACATGTTGACATTATGATAGGCAGGTGTGGCTGGCATCCAGTTGGGCAGAAACACATTTTCTTAATTTTCCTGATAGTGACAAGTGAATTAATGGTTTTGATGTAGGTGTTCAGCCAGTTCTCCCCCCGCACAAGTCTTCAGTCTCGCTCTTTTCTCTGGTGCCTTTGGAGCATTCCCAAATTCCCCACAGTGGAAACAGACCCCCGTCCATTTTAGCAGCATCAGCTTCTGAATGCCATCTCTTGAGGACTAAAGGAGGGGAGATCTCTTCTGGACAGACTGTACCCCTGGGCATATGGGTTTCTCTTCCTCTTTGCGGCTGTATTGGCAGACTTTAGGTCAGCTCATAGGCCACCTCCTTCAGGAAGCCCTTCAGACTCCTTCAGAGTGAAAGACTCTTCCTTTGTGTTTCCGTAATTCTCTGTGCATAAGTCTGTCAGCTCCTATTATGATCACTATGATTTCTTTATCCACTTTCCTTCCTTACTGCGAGTTTCTCGACATGGGCACGTTCATCTTTGTTCTCTAAGGCTTCCAGTAAATGCTTCCTGAATCGGGTTGCAGGCCTTTTGGTTCAGTGTTAGGTACACATACACTTCTCAGAATGAAGCGTGAATCCCTCAAGAGCTTTTAAACACACAGGTATCCAGGCCCTCCTCACAGAGGTTCCTTTTCAAGCCCACTTTGGGAATCCCTGCCTTAGCAGAACCACATGGATACACTGTGTCCCAGCATGGCCCAGCAGTGTCTAGTCCAGGGCAGAGCCCACAGCTCAGCTCTTTGAAGAGGCTGTGTCAGAAGTCCCCCCTCCCCCCACTGATGGCCCCCCTTCTGCTGGCCCCTCCAGGTGTGTGGGCCTTTGTCCAGCAGCCTCACCTTTCACCCTTGAGACCCACCTGCTTCCTCTCTTCACCCTTTTGGCCTCTGGGAAGGGTCTTTCCTGTTCAAGCCCTGAGCAGATCCCTCTTGGCTTGTGGTTGACCCTGCCTTTCTGGCAACCTCTCTCCTTCCAGGCCAGCACATAAACTCCTGGGCTCTAGCCACAAAACACTGCCGACCAGCTTGTTCTCTTTGCTCACAGTTGGGACTGCCCTGTTCCTTTTCTGCCTCCTGCGCACATTAGTATCCTCAGCTCGAAGTACACACGTGCCATTCCAGTCGAGCCACATCTTCCCGTCTTCCCTGTCCCCATGTGCTCGTGCACACGTAGACGCTTTCATGAGAAAACCTACCTAACTCTTCACAGCTCTGCAAACACCGCAGCGTGTTGGAAAGAGAAGGTAGATTCTGGAGTCTGGTCTGGGAATGCATCCTGGCTGTCTTATTCCCAGCCGAGTGACTGAGTGTACCCCCTCTTTGTTTTTCCATCTTTCAGCTGTATGAGTGGGAACACTGTCAGCCTCTCAAAGTTGAGAATTTAAAAAATGATATATTTGAAAGTTGTGAGTGTAGCTCTTGGCATATCGTAGGGAAATAGTACTTTCTTTTATTGGTCCCCTGGTGTCATCGGCTAGAAAGATCCTCTCCCGGTTGCCTTGCTCTTGCTCTGAAAGCACAGCAGAGGTTGGGCCAGGGAAAAGTGTGGAGCCAAATGCATTGCGTGTTTCTCAGTTGGAAACCTGTGGCAGTTTTGAGTAGTATGAAAGCCCGTCCGCCCAGCATCTGTCATGGGTATTTTGTTTACTTTCTTTGAGTTTACAATTTAGAGTGTGAGCAGAAAGGGTCCTTCTTGGAAAGAAAGGGGGAAACTACAGAGATGAATAGGTCATATGGATGAGAGACGGAAAGACAGAGAGACAGGGACCCTCTTTTTTCATTCTGAGGTTGCATGTCCTTCAGCCTGGGAGCCCATCACTGCTTATGGACACCATCGGGTGCCCTTGAGGCCTTAGAGCCTTCTCTGTCTTCACCCCTCTCCTTGGAATGAGCCTTCCGGTTCATCAACGCCCCTTGTGAAATTTGCTACCAGAACTGACCATGCGATAACAGTAAAAACTCTTTTAGCTGATGCAGTTGGTATGGTGGTTAGAGAGTTAATTGAAAAGCCAATTAAAAAGAACCAAAGAAAATCATATTCATACCCCCACACATTTTATTTTAATGTAAAATATATAAATACGCATCCATTTGCCCATCTTTTAGAGTTTGAGGTCTGCTGATTGGAATTTCACTTCACCTTTCTTGTGTAAACCACACCCAAGGTGTTGCTATCACCAGTGTCCTGGGGCAGTGTCTTGAAAGTCTAGGAAAGGGATCTCACTGCCGAATCCTTGATTTCATGATTTTTTTTCTTACTCTTTTCCAGCCCCCACCACTTCTGAGTCAGCCACAGTTGTTATTTTTAGGCAACTGCACTTTGTCAAATCTCTTCAAAGCATTCTACTTAGTTTTCCCAGAAACAGCTTCT